AGCCCATAACTACGATACCTATTGCAAATAGATTATTGTTAGAAGCCATGGAGGGGCTTTAAAAAGTGCCTCTGCACAAAGTTATATTGAAACAAGTTTATTATACTGGTTATATTTCAGTGGATATCCAGTGGTGTATTCCCATCGAGGTCAGTGGACTTTTGTTTGGGGAAGATATCCTTCATGCTGGTATATGTAAAGAACCACTTGTGATTGATAATAACACTGATGATAATTATGCCATTGAAGCTTGTAGAGAGAAACCTATTTTATTTCCTCTCAGTGCAATTACTAGAGCTATGTCAAAGATTCAACAACCATCCTTGTCTCCTGTTGAGTTAGTGGATGACAATGATTTGGGGTTGAATATGTTGTTTAGTGACGCTCTGCGCCCAGGATCATTAACACTGACTCCCCCCGGTCATCAACCTAGTCAGGACACAACTGACGTTAAAATTCTAACTCATGATGATTTAATCAGGATCAGTTTTTGATCAGTCACTGGAAAGACAGAGATATAGCAGTTACTGAGAGAGAAGCAAAGGATCTCGATAATTGTTACTATTATAGTAACGGTGTACTGATGGAGAAAAATACATGTAAGTTGTCAGCTGATAGTGTTTCCATCACAGTCAAGCATCTAGCAGTGTTACCAGTTACATTTCGTGAACAAGCCATTGATTTTGCTCACAATAGTCCCATAGGAGGACATTTGGGTGTCAAGAAGACACTCCGGTAAACTGGCAAAACATTTTACTTGGCCAAGATGAAGGAAATAGTAGCTGATCATGTGCACGTTGCCACGTGTGTCAAGTGACCAGGCAAGCCAGCGCACACACCTCCTCCACCGCGCCTCTCATTCCTACACCGTGCATAGTGAACCATTTCTCACGTCTTATTATTGATTGTGTTGGTCCTTTGCCTAGAACCAAACTAGGAAACCAATACTTATTTACTATTATGGACGCTGCAAACACGCTTATCCCGAAGCTATTCCTATGAGAAAAATTAATGCTCGTGCTATTGTGAGAGCGCTGATGAAATTTTTCTCCCAGGTTGGATTGCCACGAGAGATACAATCAGATCAGGGATCTAATTTCACTTCTAAGATCTTTCGAGAAGCATTATCACACCTAGGAATAAAGTCTGTACTTTCAACCAGTTATCATCACAGTCACAAGGGCTCTAGAGAGATTTCATCAGACATTGAAGTCTATGATGAGAGCTTATTGTGAACATTTTTCTAGAGACTGGGATGAGGGTATACCTTTTCTTCTGTTCGCTATGAGAGAAAGTGAACAAGAAAGTCTCAGATTTAGTCCGTTTGAATTAATATCGGACACCAAGTGCGTGGTCCTCTCGCAGTGTTGAAAGACGTGTGGACAGGAAAAATCAAATCCATCATTGAGTACTTCACCTTCATTAATGCAACAACATTTGACAGCCGCTAGAGAGCTAGCTTCGAAAAATCTAGTTTCAGCCCAAGCTAGAATGAAGCAACATTATGAAAAGCGTGCTGTCACTCGTTCTTTAAAAGCAGGAGATAAGGTGATGGCTCGGAAATTAGTACCAGGTCATGCCTACAAGCCAGGTATTATTGCCCCTGGAAGAGTGAAAAAGCTTAAGTGACGTAGGAATTATTTGGTACGTACACCTGGAAAAAGAAATCTTCATGTTGTACCTTTTAACCATCTTAAGGCATACTACGCTATTCCTCTACCTACTACTTCTATTCTTCCTAGGACAGAGGAAGAAAACGTCTAGAGGTATAGAGGTTCGTTTAGAAAATTCAGTGATTGACTCTACAATCACTAGAAACGATTTTCTTAGTAACCTTGGGATGATAAAGCTGTGATATAAAAATCATGATTTTGCATTTTTTATTTCCCTGAATTGTTCGGTGATGTTCCTAAACGTGGTACTCTTGGTGTACATGACGATGTATGTACAGGGAGCATCACCCATTATTTAGCAATCACCATATAGAATGATCCAACTAAGCATAAAGCATTGAGAGAAGAGGTTGATTTTTCTGTTATCTCACGTGAACTATTGAGTGTTGTAAAAGTCCATGGGCATCTCCCTGTATTAAGCCTAAACCTGCCGGTAGGTTTTCAGGATGTGCACTGATTAGCAGAAGTGAACTCTGTCCAACCTTGCCCTGAAGTTATCCTCTACCTTCGCATTGACGGCTTAATGGACCGTGTGTCACAGGAGCCCAGTTTGTCAGCCATTAGATCTCTTTACGAGGCTATTATAAGTCCCGGCACACTGAATGAGCTCAAGAAATATCTGCTTTTTATAAACGTTCAAGATTGATTGTTTTAATTACCTCGTCACCCCCATCGGCCAATGTAACGCGCTTCTTCATTCCAGCGTATAAATAACGAGTTTACCCACAACTTAGAAGGAGTAGAATCCATCATGACGACTTAGTGGTGTACTTGACGAGTGGAACTTGTCACCTGACGCTTCTCAAGCATTGTTCGTAGAGACTGCGCACTACACTTCACTGATTAACTTATTCTCTAAATGTAGTTTTGGTCAAGCCAAGATAACCTATCCTTCGGCTTTTGTATCGGCACGGTGATGTTGCTCCTATTTAGGCTAAGGTACGGCAATTTCTAATTTCCATAGCCCTGGATAGGAAATGAAAAAAAAAAAAGTACAGAGATTCCTGGTATGGCAATGGGATATTATCGCGGTTCTGTCCAAACTTTCTCAGATTGCGCTTCCTCTCACAGAGCTACTAGTAGCAATGATCAGTTCACCTGGACTAGAGATGCATCAGACTCGTTCAAAAGGTTGAAACGTTTGCTCTCCTCGAGCTCCTGTTATGAAAAGTGTCCTAATTTTCCAATCTCCCTTCTTATACATATAGATGCGAGTGGATATGCAGTGGAGCTGTGCTGCTCCAATCAGGTCTACATCCACTGATAGTCACCATCCTATAGGTACTATTCAACTAAGCTTAACGACACCAGAAACATTATGCCACTATTGAGAAAGTGAGGCTCTAGCTCTATGTTGTGTCCTTGGTCAACATTATTGACGTGTATTATTTTTTTTAAAAATTATTATTATTAATTAGTAAGGACGAGACAGATCGTCAGCTCTGGTCAATATTGTGTGTAAGGAGACGTAATCTTAGTGTTGATGGTAGTGTCGTGTGGGAGATGTACTGCATGACGCCAACACTGTCCTGGCCAAAGACCACCCCCCCTTCACTACAACACCTTAAAGCTGTTTTCAACTCGAGATGTTCCATACTGCCTCGCATTCCACAACCACTACTTAAGAGTGGAGTGCAGTCCGTCCTCTACTATGATCGAGGCCTCAGTGCCCTGCTCGTCAGCGCTATGCCCTAGTCCTCACACTGATGTACATAAACCACGAGTATGCCGAGATACGATACTGTGTACTCCCTAGTACTAGGTGGCATATCCTATGATGGACACTGTGGAAATGATGGAAGTGCATGGCACAAGAGACTGATTATTTTTATATTATATTGTATTGATGATGAGTAATCAGTAATAATGTGAAATACATAAGTGCAACTCCTAGTGCGAAGTGCGACCCTCAGTCCGTGTTGGTGGGGGGGTGATGCAACCCCTGAATGGGTACAATGATATTATTATATATATAATGTAATAATAATCTTTTTCATTTAATTTATATTGCTTTATATGTTGCGATAATACTAAATCCGTCATGTATTACTTTATTTAATATTTGACTGTTAATTCTTATTTGACGTTATGTTTGTTAGATTACATATGTGGCTCAGTATCAAGTCTTGATTGTCAAACAACTGTAATTATCGCTCCTTGCATGTTATAACTGCGTCTTCCTGCATCTCGTTGGGAGCTGTGCTGTCCACCGGGCTTCAACGTGATCGAGGGGGTGTCTCACCTCTCGTGATTCTGCTCGAGACTCGCTTGGTGGTTGACAGATTTTCTGTCTCATTTTTGGCTTGTTAGTTCTGTAGTTAACTCTGTTCACAGAACATTTTTATAGACTTCGTAATTTCGCGTTTGTACTGAGGTTTGTGTGTCACATATACACTCTGAACATCTCAGTCCTTAGCTATAGCTTCTGACCTAATTTTGTACTGGTTTCTGTGTATAGTCACAGTCAGGGTTTTTCTATGCTGAACTTAGATTCAGTAGTATGGGAGTTTTGTAACATTTGTGAGGATCCGCGGATGTTCCTACTTAGTGTCGTTATCTATCTCCTTGATCCTGATTGTGTCGCAGTTGCTTTTTGTTTGGCTTATTGGCTTAGCAATCTTTTTCATTGTTCAAGCAGACTGTACTGGTTGCCAGTCGGTCAAGAATTTTGTTTATTTGAATACATGTCAGTCACTGTTTAACTAGTCGAGTCATGAGACATAGCGAACTACTTAGAGCACTTACACACATACATACCTACTTGTACATATTTGGTAATATCTTAATTAAATGATACGTAACCAGAAGTACTTAAGAGTAAAATAAAATGTGATATGTGTTTCAGCACAATAATAGTAGAATTCGTAAGATATTGATATTATTTTCATTACTGTGATTGATTTAATTTAAATATGATAATAAACCTCAAGATTAATAAATTTATTAAATTTTAATTTCTCTAGTTAGTAGCCTACCCAGTTGTAATCCTAAACGCACTATTGATAATACTGAATTTAATGGATAATTGGACAAGGATACTGACTACTTGTTACAGAAACCCAGTAACCGGCTGGATGCTAGAAGTTCAGTCCTTTTCTCGTATTCACTGTGATCTCTAAGCTATTAGAATCGCGTTTTTTGTAACCACCACTATCACACCACCCCCACCACATCACCACCAACACCACCACCAGCACAACCACCACATCACCACACCATCACCACCACCGACATCATCACCACCACCATCACTATCACCCCTACCACCCCACAACCACCACCACCATCACCACGACACCGCCACCACCACCACCACCACCACCACCATCACCACCACCACACCACCACCGGCAAACCATAACCCTCACCACCAACACCACCAGCACCACCACTATCTTCCACCACCACCTCCATGACCCCATCATCACCAACACCACTAACGATCACCACCACCACCACCACCACCAACCACCATCACCACTATACCACCACCGCCACCATCACAATCACTATCATCACCAACGCACCACAACCACCCTTACATCACCACCGACCATCACCACCACCATCACCCTCATGGCACCACCATCACCAACAACGCGTCCATCACCAACAAAACCATCCACCACCAACAACAATCACCCCACCATCATCCCACCATCACCAACCACCATCAACCCTACTATCACCACCACTTTCACCACCACCATCAAACCACCACCACCACTACCATCACAATCACCACCAACACACATCGCACATCACACGACTTACCACCACCGATCACCACCACCACCAACTCCACCACCCACCATCACTACCATCATCACACCCCATCACCACCTATCACCACCCACAACCACCATCACCATCATCTCCACCACCACCATCACCACCAACCACCATCATCAACCTCAACCACCACCACACCATCACTACTAAAACCAACCAGCACCACCCACATCACCACCACCCACCCACCACCCTTCTCATACCACTCACCACCATCACCACCACCACCATCACCATCATCACCACCAGCAACCACCACCAACCATCACCATCCACCATCCCTCCACCACAAACTCTCATCACACAAAACCATCACCACCACAAACCCCACCGACCATCACCACCAACACCATCCCCAACACCATCACCACCACCACCCTACCACCACCACCACCACCATCACCTCCACCATCACGAACC